ACATATGTTTCATATGTTTGTTGTTGTTTGATTTATCATCTACGGGTTTATGTCGAATTAATTTGATGGCCTGCTCCCAGTTGGCTTGTTAGCTCAATTGGTAGAGCGCTGCACTAGTATCGCAGAGGTCAGTGGTTCGAATCCCGTACAGGCCTGAAATTTTTTTCAGGTCTGATTTTCACTATTGCTCAAATAGTGCTTTACTGCGAAGGATCGTGCTCATATACGTCTCATAACCGCAGTTCACACATATGTTTCATATGTTTGTTGTTGTAAGATATCCTTTGTTTTCACGAAATTGCCTTGAGAGTAAATCCTTGACCGGTATTGTTCAATCGAAATGCCCAAACTTACTTTTGTCGTTCTGTATGCCTCCATGAATTCTCAACAGTGCAAGGAGAATGCAGTTACGATACAACTTATTTCATTTTGTGGCACCTTCAGGTGGCTTCAGACACTTTCAAACACTTTCAAACACTCTCAGACACTCAGTGGTGCAACTCACACCGATAGATCAAACCGATAGTTGTTGGCTTGCGAGAGTGCAATGACTCCTTTCAATGTAGTAAAACTCGTACCGAAAATTCAAGCAATTAAATGTTTTCTTTTAACAGCGTAAAAGCTCTTGCAGAAGCTGCAATTATAAAAAAGCCGGGTCTGGGTGTGTCGGTTTGTGATAGGAGCACTAACTCGTGATACGGTCACCAGGAAAAGATTAGTCGAGACTACGCTCGCAACCAAAATGGCTGACTCAGACTAGTGCGTGGTACAAAACTAGACCACGTGACAGGCGATTGATTCTCGTGGACAAATAGATAACTTAAAAAAAAAAATCAGATCGTGCCATACTGTGGCTACACAGTTTCTGTAAGCCACACAAAAACAATATTGAAAATAAATAGAGTAATGGCTGTCTGGAATAACCATGGGGGTAGCGGAGCCGGGCAGCCAAATCATAGCTGCGCCTTAGAGACTGACACTCCAAAGACAGTGTCCATTGTTCTTTACTCTTCTTTGCGAGCATTGATATCGCTTTACTGAAAATAAAGCACTATAAATAGCAGCGGTGATACAGGTGAAGCTAATAAGTCTGGCATAACCACTTTCAATATGCCTACCTTGACAACCATAAAGTTCTACTCTCAACCCTATTCCGTTCTCATTCCAGGTAATAGGTCGAAAGCGGATGTAACGAGCAGCGATTGTAACGGAAAGGTTGTGAGAAACAACAGTATTTCGATCCGAGTTTCCAGCAAATTCCTAAAACAGACAAGATATCAGTTATTTACAAATGTAATGTTTAAACTTTATCGGAAAATACTGAGTTAAAAAATGATACAGCGTTATATTAGGGCAAGACATTTCGCAGTTTGAATAGGCATTAATGGAGGCACGAGTCAGCGGAAAGATGACGGACGTTGCTCATGCTCATGAAGACTGAGCAACAAACACTCAGAAAAAAAAGTCAATTTCAACCAAGAAGCAAAATCCAAACTTGTGGCGAGAAATGGAACCCAAAAACAGTTATAAGGGTGCAGCTAGTGAAGCATCAATGTCAGTCGTTCCAAGAACTATGAATCAGTCTTTATTACTTGCATTCAGTTGAATAGTTAATTCGAAAACACTTTTTGGAAACCATGCGCTGAGAAAGTTTCTTTCTTAGCCTACTTTATCAGCTGCATTTCCTTGCTCCTTGTAGTACTCAAAATTCACTCCGTCGTCACCATACTGTAGCTTGTAACTGGTAACCCACTGAGGATAATTCGCCCTCCCTTGTGTTGCCACTTGTGTAACTTTAGTGGAAAAGTTGAACAGATCAATCTCGAACCACTGGTCAGTATCATGTACACCAGCTATCCATCCCCCTGTGTTATAATCATCTCCTTCAAAATTCAGCCTCCCGTTCCTGGGTCCATGCGCGCTATTAAATTTCGTGGAGGCTGAAAGTTGCCAATTCCGTATCTTGTAGGCCTCCATGCCCAGCGGATCGTTGCAAGCTACAGGATGTTTAGAAGGAGAAAGTAAAGTTACAAAAATATTAATTTGACCACAGACGTATACATGTACTGGTTGTTAATAATACTTACAGTGACATTTTTTCATTGAGTGAAAAATGATAAACCACAAGATCAAGAAAATTAAAGTCAAAGGCTGCAACACCGACTTGACTTCTTCCGCTCAACTGAGTTCCAACTCTCATCAGTAATTTTTTTTTTGAAAAAGTGCACTAGTTTGAAGAACCAAAGGATCTTGCGCTTTCTAAATGTTTTTTTCTATAATCACATCAATCTCACATAAACAATCAAAACTAGTTTCATTTTGGTTACTATGTTGGAAGTAAAATGCACCTTAGAAAGAATAATCTGATCGGTGTCCTTACCTTTTTCACAATTTTCTCCGGTGTAGGCTCCGTGACACTCGCAGAGGTAACTATTATCAGCCTTTTCGACACAGGATCCTCCATTTGTACATGGATTACTAGTGCATGGGTAAACTGAAAAATAAATTATATTCAGTCCACGATATTATGTCTTTTTCATTTTTTTTTTCTAAGTTTGAAAAATTTACTCAGTCTTCCACAAAATTGTTTCATTATTATCAAGGAAGTCTCCGTCTACCAGCAAAGTTATCATGCTTTACTGTTTTCCTTTATGATCAGATTTTGATATTAGGGACCTTACGCAACCACGACGGCGACGGCAACGAGGACGTGGAAAAACAAGAGATCTAATTGGCAGAACAGTAGCTCAGCACGTGAATTTTGAAACTTTGTACATTTCTTAGCCGTCCTATGCAAACAACAACGGGAAATCGCCAAAACTTGCGTCGTCTGCGAACCGAAACCACGACGGCAAATTATTTTAATTTCCATTTGGAACTCAACGCTACTTTTATGCGTCATGCTGAAGTTGAGCTGTGGCGCCATATAAGACAGTAAGCTCCTGCAACCATTTTTGAAATTCTAACTAAAAGTAGAAATTAATTTTCTAATCGAAGTCTTCCTTTGCGTTGCCGTCCTGATTGCGTAAGGTCCCTATTATAAAGAAGACCGCAGTGCGTACGGTGTGTTAATGTTAATGCAAAGCTTTTGCTTGTGTTGTGTGCAATGATAATTGACAATGTCACCAGTTAATTTTGTTTTGTTTTTGTTTTGTTTTAATTCTAATTTACTTCTAAAGAATATGATATCTCCTCATGAACAATTTCCTTTAAGAAAGCTTCAAGGTGTAATTCATATAATCAAATTGCCTTCAGGTTGATTCTTGTTCTCAGATGTTCTCAAAATCTCAAGAGCCCGCTTTTACTATCTTCTCTCTTTTTGAGGAATGTCTTATAAGAAAATCAAAAGCTCGACTCACGTCACGATAATATGCTCATGACAACCATGCTATTAATATTTACAAAAGTTTCTTGAATAAAATAAAAATTTGGCAAGAAATATTTATAATCTTTGCGAACTCCCTAGAGAAATAATAGCTTTGTTTCACTCCTCCGTTGTATTTTTATTAAGAGATCAGAAGGGAAAAGAGTTCAAAATTTACTTCGCTTTGAACTTGGAACAATAACTGAGATATAGAAACCAAAATTGATAAGTGAGTCATTTTAATACTGGATTGATGAATCCATCGAGGAAGATGTTTGCCCGAAATTATCCACCCATTAGATCCAATGAGATAAATTCAATTTCACACTTTGAGTCTCCTATTCGAATGATTATTGTTTGTTCCATGAGTCACCAGTGAAATAATGAATCGAATCGAGCCTCGCAGCAAGAGTGTTCAAATTTAAAATTCACCGTTTTACTTCAGATACAAACTCACTGCGTATGGTACTGTGTTAAATGAACGTTTATTAGATACAGATTGCAGTGAGAGGTCTCTGTCTAAATGAAGAGAAGATTCGTACCGACCTCTTTCTTTGCGTTTTGAAAATGAGCGAAATTTAAAAAAAGAGAAAAATTCTCACTGAGCCGTTCTTAGGGTAGAAAATTAAGATAAAATTAATCTGGTAAAATCCATTGCTTTAGCATTTGAAATATCATTACCAAACTGTGTAACTAAAAGACTTGACTAAAAGCATTTTATGGGTAGGGACTCGAACCTGCATAGACGAATCCATCCCCAGTTGTTAGCATTAGTCCTTGAATGAAAAACCAAAAAGTCTGAAAAATGATATCAAACAACAAATCAGTGTACTTGCTGTCTCGGAGTGGGGACTGCAGTGTAAAAGTTTCGTCTTACCTTGCCTAGCATTAACCAGCCATCGGCGAGCATGATTTTTTCTTTTCAGTATGCCTTCTGCAAAGATTTTGAGGGCGTTCACTGGCCTCTTTAGTAACGGTATACCCTGAACCTCATATAAACAAAACAGTTATTTTTCTCGTCCTTTCCCCCCTGCTTCTGAAACAGAAAAGCTCGTTATGGCTGTTTGCACGGTGGAGCAGATGAATATAAGCCTCTAAAAGAAATTTGTTTTAGAATGTTGTAGAAAGCAATTACAGAGAACTCACGGTAAGGAAAATTAATTAAGACAGCAATGAAACCCTGCTGTTTGCAATTGGCAAATCGCTGTCGTTGTTTATTACCCAAATTATGAATGACAAGGTTTGGGGACATTTCAACCTCAGCTAAGCCTAGATCAGCTATTTCGGAGGAGACACTGAACTTCCAAGCTGTCTCCAAGACCAAAGACTAGTGAAAAGAGGTAACTTCGACTTTCACCAAACTCTGTCGCAAAAACGTTTTAAATTGTTTATTCTCCCACGTTAATGACATTTTACCGTGTCGACAATATTTCTAGCTCAACTGTTACAATCGGTTTTGCATTTGTTGCACAATCGTATGTTTAACAGATCGTGTGCTTTTATTTTTTAATTTTTTTGTTTTAGCCGAGTGTTGATAAAAGCATGTTTTGACAACAGTGAAAATCACGATGACTTTTTGGGAGTGCATCATTCCATTTTCACATATATTATTTATCTCATCCACCTATGTTGAACTGGAACTATAGATTTTTATCGTATTTTTCTTTTTTAATTTTGAAAAGCCTACTAGTTGAATTTATGTTTCTCTAAAGCAAGAATATGACTCAGGTAGTCGAAATAATATACTATCATTCAAGAAATAACTTTGGTTTTATTCCTGTTGGTAGGAGACATTAACAAAACAACGCCTACGGTAACAGGCTTCCACTGAGTACCATTATAAACTTTATTTTATTTATCTGTCAAATTTTATTCTAGAAATTTACCCTAGTCAGTTTTTAAAAGCTTAGAGACCATACAAGAGTGATAGTTAATTATGATATGTTGTCATGATAATGTAAGACCTATATAGTTTGATTCACAACAATATATAGCTGCCTGAAAAGGAAGTGACCCGTTCTACGTCAATTCGCCAGTAAGGATTGTGCTCCATGCAACTTCTCCATAATCAAAGAGAATTAAGATCGAACTTGGAAGAGACTAGTTATTTGATATCAAGTTACCAAGATTTATACTTTTGTGAAAGATTTATGCTGATTTGAGTATATTCCTTTGATGATTTTTAGGTTGAGAGGAAGTAACTCCAAAATTATAGATAATTCTACTTCTAAATAATATTTATGAATGAATACGCCCTGTTAAATGCTGCGATCAAATAGAGAATTTGTTTCAAATGCTTAGAGACTCTATGTCCAACACCCTGGAAGGTCGCTGGCATTATTCTTTGAGTGGTTGCGTACGAGGAACATTAGCCGCATATCATGGAAACAAAATAAAAAAAAAAAAAAAAAAAAAAAAAAAAAAAAAAAAAAAAACAGAACCGTTCGAATATTAAAATCTACGATTGGACTTCGTCACGAGGGGGTATCGAAAATCCAAAGAGGACTAGAATGAAGGTGTAATTGTATTTTGCTGCAAAGTTACCGTCAAGTGTAACTGCGAGTCTCTGCTGCTAGACTTTTCGACAGTCGACTGAACAAAGCAACAAACCCGAACCTACTAACACAGGTTGCAATGTTTGTGAAAATAACATCCTGGTGGTTGCTCGCGAAAGAGCTGTAAGTTTCCTTGCTTCGGTTTAAAGCAATTGCATCTTGAACAGAAAATGATTATAATTAGTTAGGCTGAAGACCTTTCTTTGCGCTCTGGCCTTTATCTAGCTAAGAATTATTGTGAAACCGTTCGATAATGTTCATCTTTATTTTCCTTGATTGATTTAAAGAGGCATAACATCAGTAGACAACTTTTTTCAAAGAATCGAATTTCGAATGCGGTACATGCAGGTACATGTAAGCTTTCCCTCCAAAACAAGAACATGGTGTCATTTTATAAAAGGATTGGGCTTAGCTATAAGCTGCGCGTTTATGAGGATATAGATGCATTTTGGAAGTATAAAGAGAACGCTCAAGAAGGCAGAGTAACTTTCGGCTACGTTTAAAGTACATGTAGCTTTCACGTTCCTCTCTCCTCTCTTGCCTTCCAAATTTCGCGCGCCATAACAAACCAATAACTACAAAGGAAGGTGTTAAGATAGCGACACGTAAACTTTCGATTCACGTCACCTGACGAAGACAAGCAACATCGTAGTCAAAACGTGGCGATCAATACACCATTGATTAGCTTGACTCTTTGATCGCAAGAGAAACGATTAAACGTTCATCTATAAATTGAGCCGTTTATCGTGCTATTATCGTCAGACAGATCTGATCGATTCGTGATGAGTGAGGTCATCTTCACGTTTATTAGTATTCATACCGGTAGTGTGTCTTCAAAATAAAATAGGTGTTACTTTTAACTAAAATTACCCGCTATTGTATCCTTATTGCTATTTTTAAATTGCTGCAGTACATGTACGTGGTTAAGCTTTTTACTTTGTCATCCAGCGGTATGAATAAAATACTTCTCCGAGTTGCGCACAGAGGGCATGCTGAGATCAGTCAGCAAGCGAGTTTTGCCATGTAATTCCTTCTCTTTTATTCGAGATAGCCCACATTCAGCTCGCGACATGGTTGATCCGGGAAAAGTTGTGACATAATGTTTGGAAAGTTGTGATCATAAAAATAAGAAGATTTCGTTGTTAGAAACTTAATGCTCAAACGTATGGCTTGATATTATTTTTGTGTTAATCGCGAAAAATCGCCTAAAGGGGAAGTTTTTCAATTCAGCGATTGCCTGTAGGCGTTAGAGTTTACATAGATTGCTTTATCACCAATATAGGTTGGATAACAAGCTTGTTAACATTACAAATGCATGTTTTGGAATCATCTCATAATAGAGATCCAATTCAAACCGACCGATGCAAATCGCATTTTAACTTTGGATTTCCCAAGAGGCTTTTAATTGATCTAGTGTTTCAGTGTAATCGCGAAATTCGGGATATACTCTGATCTTAAAGGACACATATTCCAAATTTTGAGGGAGTTACTCCTAAAAAAACAAAAGTATCTAATGTGCGAACGAACTCACGGTGAGATGTGTTAATCAGCCATATTACCCAAAAGCAGGTGGAGGGGAAGTAGAAATAAGATGTAGCTTTAAGGTAAATGCATGATAATTACGATCAGTGAAATAATTAATTATTTCAGCTTTCAACTGTAGTCAGACTTCACTACAATAACTGTGCTACAGCTCTCAAAAGGAACGAATTGAATTAAGTAACAAAAACAAAACGAAACCAAAACGAGGAGCAATGTTGAATTCTGCACTTAAGATAACTGAATCATTTTTAAGGGATGTGTGAAATACTTCTTTAAAATGTATTGAGCCAATCATTGATTTACTTACTTGTAAAAGCAGGAAGGTCGTCTTAATTCATCCAACGAAATACAAGAGGTCACCTATGGTATACCAAAGTGTGGACAATGACTTCTCCAATAGGAAAGGTAATACCCACTTGAAAGGCGTCATTTTTAGCTTTTGGAGTACAAATGAAGGTCTGCAAGTCTCCGTAATTCACTTCAGGAAGAAAAATAACATTTAGGATTTGCTTTATTTCGCAGATCGTTTCACTATGTTTGGTCTGGATGGTGCAGCGTAACTCGATCCAAGGTTAGCAAACTTTTGTACATGCATGAACCCAAATGCTATACACTACAAGATCTCGCGTATCACAGGATTTAAGCCATCTTTGATGAATGTAAAGATAATTTTTAACTCTTTGACGCAGCGATGATCATTTTCCTAAACCCAACTCAGTTGTGAGAAAAGCAAGCTCAGATATTTTCACTTGATCAAAAATGTACGGATCTCATTAAGTGTAATCGTCTTGTCGCACTTGCATAGTCTCAGTGCTAGCTGGCCGCCAGGGCACTTACAGAGACACTGAATACAGATTGCTTTCTTGAGAAAGATTACACATTCATCACTTGAAACGATTTATGAGTGGATAGCAAGGAAGTAAACCTAGAAGGAGCTACGTATTAAGCAATGAGATTTGACTCAGGACTTGTTTTTCATATCTCTAAAGAAGTATGATACTTTCTTTGGTTTTTCTTTGTCTTGTTTGTCTGTTTTAATCTTAGTTTCCTTTTATTAGCAACGGATGTCTTCCCTTTTAGTTTGTAAAACGAAATCGGGTAAAATATCGGCCGTATATAGCCATTAAAATTCCCCTTTGTTGTAAACATAGGCTCGTCTGGTTGGGTGGGCGATCTGGCGATCTTGGCGAAACCACTGCATGTCTTATATATCGATTTTGTTTGCCTTGTGCACCATATGTCAATCTGTTTGTCGTTCTAAAGTCACGTGCCAGAACTTAGTCTATTGTTGTAGCGATCCATGTGATCACTATTTTGGTATTTTGGAGGTTCTAAAGTCATTGAGTTCAGAAGTTACCGGTGACCTAGTTATTACCCTATTGTGTTATTAAGTGTACCTTTTATGGCATTTTTAATCCTCAGTATACGGGGGTTATTATTCAGCTTAACTAACAAAAAAACTGCAATCACAAGCCATTTTCAGCTTCTTGAATCAGCGCGAAACTTATAAACAGTGGAGCTTAAAAATGATAATCTATGTATCCTTCCATTGTTGCGAATGTGTAGAGGTATTCAGTATACCTATGTCGACAGTTTGGTCGATTTCTAAAATAAAATTCTAGGATTGTTTGAAATGTCACTTTGATTAATTTAAACAAGAAAATTTTGTGTCGGTGTATATTTTGGTCATGCAAGATGACCGCTTCATTGNTGGCGACCTTTGTAACGCGTGCGGTGTCACCTGTCAACTGTATAATAGGAAAAACTATATAAAAAACAATTAAATAAGGGAAAATTAAAAAGGATAATAAAA